CTTGAAGATGATAATAATTCCCAGTTCAATTTCAATGAAAGGTTATTTCATTAAAATTATGTAAACATTTTCCCATTTAAATCTAGAATAGTTTGAAAGCATCTCAATGAGTATTAAGTGAACATGTGTGGGGTTTAGAATAGGAATGACTAATGTACTTAGTCGCTCAGTCATGTCCAACTCTTTGCAACCCCATGGACTATATAGCCTGCCAGACTCCTCTGTCCATGGGGATTCTCCAAACAAGAATATTGGCGTGGGTTGCCATGTCCTCCTCCAGGGAATCCTCCCAACCCAGGGGTCGAACCCAGGTCTCCCGCATTGCAGGTGGATTCTCTACTGGCTGAGCCACCAGGGAAGCCCAGAAATGACTAATATCAGTTTATAATTCAGCTAAATATCACTATCCCCATGGTCACTTTGACTCATTATACAGTTGTAAATTGGTTGTATTCTTATGTAAATAAATTATTGGTTATCTGTAAAGGGCCATGGCTTTAGGCAGAAGAAATACCTGATATTCACATTCAAGTTAATTAGGAGGATCAAAATGATAACAATTTTGCAAATTTACCCCAGGATGATTTGCAGCAGATAAGTAAATTGTATTTATGTCACCAAAATCCCCATAAAACACACCTGGAAGTTTCTCCTCCTTCAAAAAGCGATGTTAAGAAGAGAAAACATAATCGCAATTATAGCCAATTAGGCTTCCCTGATGGCTCAGTGGTAAAGAACCCGCCTGCCAATGCAGGCATTTGCTGCATTTGCTGCAGGCATTTGCTGGGTTGGGAAGATCCCCTGGAGGGGCAAATGGCAACCCACTCCAGTATTCTTGCCTGGAGAATCCCACGGACAGAGGAGCCTGGCGGGCTACAGTCCATAGCGTTGCAAAGAGTCAGACACAACTGAGAGACTAAGGAACAACAATAGCCAATCCAACTTTTCATTTATTTGAAATAAAGGCTAGCAAATTATTTTGGAGGTAAGTCTTTATAATTAGCAGTTTTAACTGTCATTTCTTGGCTAATCATTTATACACAAGTTCTGTAAATGAAAAACAATTTTTACAATTAGAGAATCTCAAACATTGGCTCACAAAAGCAGGTTTTGCATCTACTTGCTCCTGTAACACATGGTTGGATGTAATCTACATCTTAATATACATTGGATCTTCAAGCTCATCATGCTCAATGTCATTTAAAAGGGATTGTTGACAAATCATGCTTTATGCTTCATAACAAATACACATGAAAAGGAAGAACATTTGTCACTTTTAAAATGCAAAATGTCTGAATTTATTTCTTAGAAATGTTTTATTATTAGTATTATTGTTACGAAAAGAGATTGTAAGCCAGAAAAGATTGAGAAGTGTGAGTTTAGCTGTTTCTCCAACTCTTTCCCACTCTCCCCTCCCATCTCGTTTCCATCCCACAAAAGAGCACAGAGGAACCAGTGCCAAGGAAATAATGTTGCCTAAGGCAGCATCCCGGAGAAGGCAATGGCACCCCACTCCAGTACTCTTGCCTGGAAAATCCCATGGATGGAGGAGCCTGGTAGGCTGCAGTCCATGGAGTTGGACACGACTGAGCGACTTCATTTTCACTTTTCACTTTCATGCATTGGAGAAGGAAATGGCAACCCACTCCAGTGTTCTTGCCTGGAGAATCCCAGGGACAGGGGAGCCTGGTGGGCTGCCATCTATGAGGTCACACAGAGTCAGACACCTGAAGTGACTTAGCAGCAGCAGCAGAAGGCAACTTCCATTCTGGGGAGTGGACATACGTGAACACATGTGTATGAATTTGAGAGTGTCAGTGCAACTGTGGGTATGGGTGTGTGTGTTTGTGTCTATGAGTGATTTGGTGTATGTCTGTATGAGTACATGGGTGTGTTTGTGAATGAATGCATGAGTAGATATAGATGCAAGTAACCAGGTGCAGGCATGTATAAATTCATGTGTGTGTGACTGTGTGAGCAAATGTGTGTGTGTGTTTCTATGAGTGAGCATGTGTGTGAATGTGTCTGTGTGCATGAAGCCACCCAAGCCCTGAGGAAGAGAATCTGGGTTGACATGACTGGGGAACAGGGAATTCGAAAACATACAAGCGTATTAAATAAAACTGATTCCTGGTATCCTGAGTGGAGCTGAGAAGAGGGATGGCATGTCTTTCTCTTGTCACGTGGTGGTTAGTCATGGAGCAGAATGGGGCTATGTTTGCTTCGGTAGAAGCAGATGCTGTGTGTGTTGAAGGGGGAGTGATGAACACTTCACGAAGTGGACCAACCCATCAGTCCAGGATGAGGGCAGCTGTTGGTAGCAGCAGCCAGAAGCCACACCAGCAGTGCAGCGTGGAAATCTCCCAAGCTCTTTAGTCTGGCCCTCGCTCCCTCCCTCTTCCTCCCTCTCGCCCATCCCCCCAGGACACAGACACTAAAGTGGTCTCCTGCCTCTGTCTTTAATAAGCTCAGAAGACAGTAAATCATGGTAATGAGAAAAACAAGGCGCACATCTGCTCCCGATGAAGCATTGCACACGGGCTGATCAATTGCTCTAGAAATTGTCCTTTGGACATTACTCAGAATGAAGTTGTCCTGCTAGAGTGCAGTTTCCCATATGTAATTGGACGATGTGTCCCTCTAGTGGGACCATTGTCACGTTTCAGTTTAGGCCTGAGGAACTTGGGGTTGTGTTTCCAAAGTGCTTTTCAGTCTATTTTTTTTTTAAACCTCAGAGCCTATTTCACACAAAAACAATTTTAGCAAGGGTAGTGAATTTCCAGGATTATCTGGCAAAAACCTGAACCCTGAAATGTTTTTGGAGTCTCCTGTCAACGTTAACTCCCCTACCTCCACTGCAACTCCCCTGGAATGTACATTTATTTATCTGTGGCAAGGATGACAGGCAGCTTGTGATTGAAAGCATCCATGGACCTGGCTATGAGTCCCTTGGGAGTGGGCTCCTCTCTCAACCAGCTCTGATTCTTCCAGGCCACATCCAGAGTCACAGGTATGGGCGTTAGAAGTATACAACCTGTTAGAGCTTCTAAGGACTGCTCCCATCGGAATGTATGCCTCCATTCATTAATTCATTCTTTCATTCATTCAACACTGGTTTAGACAATTGGGATACATCAGTGAAGCAAACTAGGATCCCTGCCCTCCTGAGGTTGACTGCATAGCAGGTAGAGATATAAAGGAAGCATCATAAATGAGGAAACAATATGGTATGTTAGCAAATGTTACGGCAAAAAGAAGAGCAGGATGGGAAGGGTCGTGAGTATTAAACAGAGTGGTCAGGGCAAAACTATAATTAGAAAAGATACACGTACCACTGTGTTCATAGCAGCACTGTTTACAATACCCAAAACATGGAAAAAACCTGAATGTCCATTGACAGATGAATAGGTAAAGAAGACATGGTAAACACATAATGGAATACTACTCAGCCATACAAAAAGAATGAAATGATGCCATTTGTCGTAATGTGGATGAACCTAGTGGCTGTCATACAGACTGAAGTAAGTCAGACAAAGAAAGATAAACATCGTACGATACCATTTCTATGTGAAATCTAAAATATGACACAAATGAACCTATCTATGAAACAGAAACAGACCCACAGACTTAGACAACAGATTTGTGGGTGCCAAGGGGGAGGGGGGTGGGGAGGGTTGGGCTGGGAGTTTGGGATTAGCAGATACAAACTAGTATAATAAGATGGATAAACAACAAGGTCCTACTGTATAGTCCAGGGAACTATATTCAATATTCTATGATAAATCAGAAAAGAGAATAATATGAAAAAGAACATATATATGTTTATCTGAATCACTTTGCTGTAGAACAGAAATTAACACAATGTTGTAAATCAGCTATACTTCAATTAAAACACACACACACAGAACAGCAGACTGATCACCAGAGAAGGCCACTGATAAAGGATTGGAAAAATGAAGTTGGTATCAGGGAAGTACATTCCAGCAGAGGGGACAGTCAGAGCAAAGACCCCAGGGCAGGAATATGCCTTGCTTGTTTGCAGAGGAGCTAAGAAGACTGTGTGGCTGATTTAGAGAGCAAGGTGAGGGGATAAGGCGAAGAGATGAGAGTAGTGGTCAGGGCCAGAAGACAGAAGGGGCCTGGTAGTCTGTGGGAAGGACTTGGGCTCTCATTCTGGGTGAGATGGGAGCTGGTGCCGGGTTTTGAGCAGAGGAGGGATGGGACCTGACTTGTATTTTCATAGTCTGTCTGGCTGTTGTGTTGGAAACAGCTTGTCAGGTGGCACGGGTTGGTCCCATTCACTGGGCTGAACTACTGAACTGGGAACCCTGTCTCTGGGATAAGAGCAGGGATTGAGCAGGGTAGATTTTCAAGGCTGGAAGTTAACATTTCTTTTGCAGGTTGGGGTTCAACTATGCTTGCCACCTTGTCTGGAGCTGGCCATATATGTTCCAGTCTAAAAAAGACAGACAGATCTGGTCCTTCAGGATTTTCTTAGAAAGGCACTCCCTAAGGCAAGGCTGCTGTTTGCAGATTGAGAGGATAAATATGAGGATTGAGAGGATAAATATGAAAACCCTTCAGGGGTCAGGATCCGAGGTACTGGCAGGGGGTGGGGGTAAGGGCTGGGAATGGATGTGGGAGCTGGTATAAGATTCCAGGCCTTGAAGGCAAGTAGGAAGGCTGATTGCTCTTTAATTGGAGAGCTGCCTGTTTCCTCTCTCAGTGCCCACTTCCCTCTGAAGGAGACAGAGGGAGAATGAAGTCCTCTCATCTCCCCCATCAAATGACTCCAGTGGACCTTTCCGGGGTGCCCTGAGCAGAAACCTGGGAAGACGCACCCCCATCCCTCCACCCCCCGTTGGCTGTGCCCCCGAGTCATTTAGGGCAGGGATCAGCTGGTATGCCTGGACTGGGGTCTATTTTGGGGGGTGGGGGGGAGGACGCATTATACCTTGGGAGCTTCGGGTGGGAGTGGAAGCAAGACATCAGGGTAATGGCTAGATGAGGAACATTTCCAGGGGGATCTCGAGTTTCCTGCACGGACCGGGGACGTCTAGAATTTTGCAAAGGGCCCCGGACGGTTCGGGATTCCTGGATACCGTGTTTCCAATCCTGGGTGCCCCGGCACAGAATTTGGGGAAGGCCCCGTCCCCTGTGGATGCCTCCCCCAAAGTAGAGGGTGGGCCCAGATGACCTCCAAGGCCTTCCAGCTCTAACCCCAGGGGCTGAGGCTTAGCCAGAGGCCGGCTTCTTCCGCTGCGCTGAGCCAGCTCCGCAGAGGGCGAGGCGAGCCCGGAGTCTGGGCTTGAATAATTCAAGCGGCGGCGACTCGCGCTCAGAATACCAACTCTGCGGCGAAGTGCCGGCGGGCGGGGCGGCAGCGCCCGGGCCCCACCGCTGGACGAGCCCGCCACCCTGCGGTCAGTCTGAGCACTGCCGGCTGCGCTACCCTTGACTCGGATAATCCGGCGGGGCGGCCGGTGGGTGCATGCTAGTCCACGCAGGTCCTTCTTGACCATCTCTTGGGGATCCTTCCCTACACAGAGTCGCAGAACACTTTCCCCTTCCGAGTCTCAGCTTTGGGGACCCCTCCTCTTGAGCCCTGTATCTCAAGCATGGCAGTGCCTTCCTGGAAAGAAAGAATGAAAGAAAATGAAGTCGCTCAGTCGTGTCCGACTCTTTGCGACCCCATGGACTGTAGCCTACCAGGCTTCTCTGTTCATAGGATTTTCCAGGCAAGAGTACCGGGGTTGGTTGCCATTTCCTTCTCCAGGGGATCTTCCCGACCCAGGGATCGAACCCAGGTCTCTGGCACTGCAGGCAGACACTTTACCCACTAAGCCACCAGGGAAGCCTTCCCTGGAGGAAGCCCTAAACCAGTTCCAGGGAGCCCCATGCCCAGACTCAGATCTTCATGGGTCCTGGTTCGGTTTCACTCCTTTCTAGGGTCTTGGATCGTCTCCTCTGATCCCAACCACAGGGGTCAATGAAATGTCCCCAAAAGCTCCAGGATTCCTGCCTATGGAATCATCCCAGGGCCCCAGAATGGGGCGCTTGGTTCTAGGGTTTCTGTCTGGAAAGACTATCACTTCTGTTGGCTAGCAAGGAGCCAGAGAGAGTGGGCCTCAAGACTGGCGCCGGCTTGCTGATTTCAGTGACTCAAATCATCCATGTAGACAGGAGCACCCGTATATCCTAGGGGGGCCCTGCCCTGCAGCAAACAAACATTTGAAGGACTACTGCCTGTCTTGTTTATTACCAAGGAAACAGGTAAGCATCAACTCCCTCCTTTCACGAACCTTGAGTGCCTCGGCTGTGCCAGGGACATGGCTGGGTGCTTGATACTGGGCCAGGGATCCAGACTCAAAGAGGTTCTCATCTTCTGGGACTTCTCGACAGCTCTGGCCTGTTACCCCTCTTCTGAGAGGGTTTCTCCCACTGGTTTCCAGGTTTAGAGCTTGAGTAAAGGAAGGAGAGCCTGCAAACGAGCAGTAGGAGGTAAAGCATGAGAGTCCTGTCCGCTGGAAGTCAAGGGGAGGAGGGTTCCAGAAGGATGGTGTGTGAGTCAAGTATGATAAAGATAAAAAATTGACCATGCCATTTGGTGACCAACAAAGGCCAGGACAGAAATTGTGACATGATGGAGAAGGAAACCAGGTTGGAGTGTGTTGAGGAGTGAGTGGGGCCCTAGGGGATCCTGGTTTTTCTCACTACAAGCCCTTTGCAGACATTGCTCCCTTTGTTGGAGATCTTTCTCTCTCATCCTTGCCTAGTTTACTTACTTACTTACTTTTTTTCTTTCCTTTTTGCCACTCCTTGCGAGATCTTCCCCAACCAGGGATCGAACCTGGGCGCCTTTCTGTGGAAGTGTGGAGCCCTAACCACTGGGCCACTGGGGAAGTCCCTGGTTAACTTCTGGTGTGGTGTCTCAGGCAACCATCACCGCCTGAGGGAAGTCTTTCCCGACCTCCCCAATTCAGACCAGCTCACTAGGCTACTCTTTCACTGCGCCATGTATTTACCTCTTCTTCGGAGTGTTGATCTCTGTTGCAGTTCTTCATTTATTTGTGGGACTCTCGGATCTTGTTTATGATGTTGTACGATAGCTTTGCAAAAAATTCAGGGAAACCGGATAAATGGCATTGCTGTGTTATTTCTTACAACTGCATGAGAATCTACAATTATCTCAAAAGAAAAAAAGCTTACTTAAAAAAAAGAGAGCCAAAACCCACCCTGACCAGACTGCAAGTTCATGAGAGCAGCTTCTGGTCTGCCTTTGTTCACCAGGGTGTCCCAGCATTTAACAGTGTTGACACACAGTGGGGGTTCAATGAATGCTTAGTGAATGAACAAGGGAGTGGTTAGTGACCTCAATGGGACGGTGCCAACCAGGGGGGAGGAGGTTGGTAGAATCTCATGGGTGGAGTGAGTAGCTGAAGCGGAGGAGAATGGCATGAGAGGAGTACCATGGAATAAGAAGGATGCTTACCCCTCTCCTACCTGCAGAGAACCAGAGCTCAGGAGTTTGATTTTATAGACTGGGAGAGGCTGAATAGTGCAACGGTGAAACACTTGGCCACTAATGTGCTGTGTGACCTCGGGAAAGGTTTGCCTTCTCTGTTGCAGTTTCCCTATCTGTTCCATGCAATTCCAGTGGAACCTTCTTCATGGGGCTGTTGAGGAAATTAAATAACTTAATACCTGCAAAGGGCTAAGAACAATACTTACTTTGAGCAGTGCTTGACAAATAATACCTGCTCTCTAAAGTCTTTTTATTTCTTTTTCTTTTTATTTTTTTTAAAGTCTTTTTAATTTTAAATTTCATTTGGTCCTCATCAACATTTTGAGGGGTGAATAAGGTAGGGATTGGACTTCCCTGGTGTCTCAGTGGTTACAAAATCTGCCCACAATGCAGGAGACGAGAGTTCCATCCCTGGGTCAGGAAGATCCGCTGGAGAAGGACATTACAACCCCCTCCAGTGTTCTTGCCTGGAGGAGCCCCATGGACAGAGGAGCCTGTTTATGGTGGCTCAGACTGCCCACCCCATGGACAGCCCATGGTGTGGCAAGAGTCGGGCTCGACTTGGTGACTAAACTACAGCAACAGGGTAGGGATGGTTAGCCCAGGTTGAGACGTGTGATCCCCAGGGAGGTCAAGGAGCTTACCAAGACACACAGTGAGTGAAGAACAAGGCAGGGACAAGACCCCGTCACCCCAATCTGCTGTTCAGTGCCCTCTCTGCCATAGCTCAGCATGTGAAGAGGTTCTGAGAAGCAGAGAGTGAACAGGTCAGATGAGAAGCAGTGTTCCATCTGCTGGGAAATTCTCCTTCTCATCAAATCACATCTTCACAGAGCCCCCAGTTCCAGCAACCCCACCTAACAGTCGCCCAGACCACTCCTCATCAGCCCCTTCAGACCAGAGACCCATGTGTTCACTGTCTGCTTCCAGGTCCCTCCCCTGGTTGGTCCTGAGAGCTAGCTGGCAGAAGATTTAATCTGCCCTGGGTCTGACCCAGTGCATCCCAGCGAGTTCCTGCTGAGCGTCATGTTCAGACAAAAGAGTGATCCGATTAGCTGGGCGCCTCCTGCTCTGGTCGGCCCCCTGCGGCGCTAATCAAGGGGGAGGGAGATTAAATTAGCAAAGATGCTGAGAAGGGAGAGCTGCTGAAATGCATTTACAAATGGATTTTTAATATAAAAAAAATAAGGGCAATTGGCATTGGCAATTAGGAGAAAGCCTTTGTAGCTGGAGCCACCGCTAAGAAGGTAAGACATTGAAGAAAGAAACTCCCAAACCAACAGACTCTGAGAACAAGCATCCGAGATATTCACACATCCAGTAATGTTGAACTTTCCTTCGTCATTTCTTGTGGTAACCAACTAGTGGAACAGATAAGTAGAAAGCAGGAATTCCCCCATATCACTTGTGGACAGGGCAGAATGGGGTCTTTTATAGCAAGTTAGGGCAGAGTGGTGAGGACTTAGCAAACCAAAGGGTAGAGGCATCAGGGGAAAGGACCTGGCTCATAGGCCTGGTTCTCAAAGGCTGGGAAGAAGAGAAGGGTTCAGCGAGGGGATGAGAGCATGGTGACGACAGACATTCCATGGAAACCAACCTATAGCCAGTCTGACCAATTAATCATAGTGGGGCTCAGGAAGCTGAATTATCACCTGACTGCAATTCTGACTGCATTTTTAAATAACAGTTTTTGATGTACAATTAACATACCATAAAGTTCACTCTTAAAGTATACAGCCCTGTAGACTCTATTTTATTTTACTTTATTTGTCCATTTGGCTGTGCTAGGTCCTAGGTGCAGCACGTGGGATCTGTAGCTGTGGCATGTGGGATTTAGTTCCTTGACCAGGGATTGAACCTGGGAACCCTGCATTGGGAGCAGCATGGGCCCCCTACATGGAGTCCTAAGCACTGGACCACCAGGGAAGTCCCAATCCAGGACTTTCTTATTTTTTAAGTATATTCAGTTGTACTGCTGAGCCCTGAAGAATTGATGCTTTGGAACTATGGTGCTGGAGAAGACTCTTGAGAGTCCCTTGGACTGCAAGGAGATCAAAACAGTCAATCCTAAAGGAAATCAATCATGAATATTAATTAGAAGGACTGATGCTGAAGCTGAAGCTCCAATACTTTGGCCAACTGATGTGAAGAGCTGACTCATTAGAAAAGACCCTGGTGCTGGGAAAGATTGAGGGCAGGAGGAAAAGGGGATGATAGAAGATGAGATGGTTGGGTGGCATCATCAACTCTATGGACATGAGTTTGAGCAAGCTCTGGGAGACAGTGAAGGACAGGGAAGCCTGGTGTGCTACTGTTCATGGGGTCACAAAGAGTTGACACGACTGAATGACTGAACAACAACAAGTTGTACAGTTGTCACTGCAGTCAGTCTTAGAACATTTAATTACCTCCAAAAGATACTCTGTTCCCTTTGGCAGCCACCCACCCTCATTCCTCCTGAACCCAATCCCCTGGCAACCACTAATCTGCTTTCTATCTCTATGTATTTTCTTATTCTGGATATTTCATGTAAATGGAATCATAAAATATCTGGCTTTTTGTGTCTGGTTTCTTTAATTGGTATATTGTCAAGGTTCATCCACGTTGTAGCATGTGTTAGTACTTCATTCCTTTTAATGGCTGAATAATATTCCATTGTAGGAGAGACCACATTTTGTTTGTCCATTTGTCCACTAATGGACATCAGGATTGTTTTCACTTGTGGGATATTATAAATAATGATCCTGTGAACATTTGTGTACAAGTTTTTGCACGGGCATATGTTTTCATTTCTCATGGGCATATATCTAGAAGTTGAATTGCTGAGTTATATGGCAACAACTTATGTTTAACTTCTTAAGGAGCTTCCAAACTCTTTTCTGCAGTGGCTAAACCATTTCGCTTTCCTACCAGAAATATATGAGTTCCAATTTCTCCACATCTTTATCAGCACGTTTTTTTTTTCCATTTAAAAATTATAGCAATATGGAGAAGGAA